CCCTAAGAGACTTTCTCTTAGTGCCAATGTTATCATGACAAATCTTGAACCTTTTTCCTTCAATATTTCAGTATTTGAATGCATGAAAGAACTCAAAAGAGACGAATAAGAGTGAGAGGCAGAATGCCCAAACAGACCAGCACATTTGAGCGAACTCCAGCGTGCAGCACAAGTTGGCATTTCCTTCTTTAAATCGTTTTAGCTTTGGGCATTCCACTCTTGCTCATTCCTAAGCTGCTATCTCAAACGAGTGACAGAAACTCAAAACCTTAAGTCATGAGCACACACCTTTCCAGACGAAAATACGCCAGAAGTTCCTCTCCCACCTTCCTGCCCCTGTTTACAGCTAAACTGGAGATCAGCAGGGCAGAAGGGTCTTTCCTTAAGCGGTGGAGGGTGCAAAAGGTGGGGAAGGAAGAGCCTTTTGACATGGCTCTTAGATGGCACAGTCTGCATGTCCATAACCTCCACTGAAAGCTGACCTGGACATGTTCTTGATGTTTCACCAAGCAGACGCAGTGCAGAGTAAAGCACATGGCTAACTACAAGGCAGCAGCTTTCTATCAACTGTGGGATTTATTTTCAAGTAGCCTGACCTGTCAGGCTTACAAAACAAATCTTTTTCACTGTAAATAACTCTAAATAAAAGAATATATGAGACCTCCGGGAATAGATGAGTAATTGCGTGGGCCCTCAATGGAAAAGCTTCTCTCTCGTATTTGTCATGCGTTATTACTGAGAATAACAAACTGATAAATAGCACGGGGGACACACAGGGAGATGACTAAATTTGGGACAATGTGATTTCATTTTGCAGTGCTGGAGACAGAACAATGCTCCATATATACAAATCTCAACACCTACAGTCTTCTGGTTTCATTTGCTTGTGTTTATTGCCTTGGCCTTGCCTTCTTCCCTAAAATCACCCTTTAAAACTCCAGTTTCTTCACTCGCACATAGCTCTAGCCTAATCTTTCCCCGTCAGCATTCCAGCCCCATGCATACAAGCTCACCCCATCCTAGAGGGGCATGAGAACTTCAAGGGAAAAATAATAACAAGTGATCGGAATGGGAGTTTGCATTCGCACTGCCAGTTTTCTTTTCAGGGCAGAGGAAGAGAGGAAGGGAAGGAAAAGAACTACTGTAAACACTGTAATATGTGAGGGATTGGATAAAAAATGAGAGCACAATGTTTTAATGGCATAGTGTATTAAGCAGCATTTTTAAAGCAAAAAGCATTACTTTCAAAATGAGGAAAAAACAGAGATACTCCTGCCAGATTCTGAATCTGAGTTTTGGAGAACAGATTCCCCAGGCTAGTTCAAACCTGCGTAACAGGTCTAAAGTAAAGATTTTCATGCACATGCATGTATATGCATACATACACCCCTTTCCATGCAACGGGGAGCATGGTTAGAACATTGCGACATTCTGCGAGAAACTTAGCACATGGGAACATAAACATGCGTGTTATAATCTCACATGTGCCAAAAATTCAGTGATCAGAGATAGAGAAATCAAAGTAGCTGGGAATGACTGGGATTCAGCGCTGCTTCTACTGCTGCTCTTACATAATCTCCTGAGAAAGAAGCACTTGAAAAAGGAAATCGTAACGCGGGAGTGCTGAATTCTTCCACACAGATTTCAAAAATACAGTCCTACATCAGCTGAACTTCTGTTCAGAAACAGCTGAGTTATTTAAAAGTATGCCAAGAAGCCTATACAATATCCTTTAAAAAAAAAGGAAAAATTTCTAAATGTCACCAACAAGAAAATCCACACACAAAAAATTACCCCTGGGCTATTTCACGGCAGCACAATTCCCACAAGACATGCAAAACCAATACCTTCTTAAGGGCATATCTCTTATTTTTTTGTGTGTACAGCTGGTTGTACAGCAGAGATACAATCAGACTGTTGTCTGCTCACTTCTGATTGCTACAGCCACGCCACCCACCATTGTTTGAGTCCTTTGCTGGTTTCCATTCTGAGGACTGTAGTAAAATGCCAGCAGCCACAGCAAAGCGTCTGGTTCTGCAGGGGCCTTCAGCAATTGTTCTGCTGCCACATCCAGCCATTCTCCAAAACGAGCAATCAAAAACCAGATTTCAAAAAGGTCAGCAGAAGAGCTGGAAAAAAGAGAAAAAAAAAAGAAAAGAGAGAGAGAGAACATGAGTAATTTCCTGTTATTAAAAAAATGAAAAATTACGAAAAGTTATTCAAATTTCAAAATGTCTAATTTAACTACAAAGGGTGCTGGCATTAAATATGATTGCTAAATTCTTCTGCGGTAGATACATCCTTACCTGTTATTCATGCACTGTATTATTTGCAATAAAGATTAAAGAAAACATACACCGATGCTATTAAAAAGTTGACTTTGTTCAACAAATTATCTGGAACGGTGGCTTCAAGTAAATGGCAGTGATAAAATATTTCGTACTAAAATATATGTCTTAAGATTATATTTTACAATTTATACTCTCCAATTTAAGAATTTAAAAAAATTTTATATCCTATTTAAAATTAATTTAACATACTATTAGTTTTTATTGCTTTACAGTTTTTTTTTGTTTAAGAGCATATGTTTTGAGTAATACAGGAGGAAGTATCTTTAAATGGACTTTAAATATAAAGGATATTAATCTCTGGACTTTTAGATTCTCACCCTCTTTAATGAACATTTGTAAGATATTTGTAATGTCTGGTATTGTGGGAAGAAAAAGAAAGCACAGAAAGGTACAAACTCCCTTATTTGTACTTAATCGAAATTAAGATATATTATTTTCACCAGAGCTGACTTCACCAAACACTTAAGAGGAACAGTGAGGCAATACAAGGATTCAGAGATCCAACAGCATTCCCCTCAGCTACTTAATTTAACGGCATGACAACTTATGTGGACAAACAAGGTCCAAGGATTTACCATCACTCGAGAAATTTAATTAAAAGCAAATTACTAGAACTTGATACCTTCACTAAGGGTTGACAGTACTTACAGCTGGAAGTGTTGATAGCTCAAAGGATAAACACAGACCTGAAGCACCAAAACGCCTTGGACCCGGATGGGCCTGTGGGGAGCCGCATCCCACCGGCCTGCGCCCCGCGGCTCCGCAGCGGCAGCTCTGCCGCTGTCACCACCGGCAGCCCTTCACCTGGTCTCAGAGGTTACCTGCCTTTTGGAAGCCTCCCTCGGTTGATTTCTATTTTATAAGCTGTTTTTATGCAACATTTACTGTTTATTGACGTGACTACACATATGGATAAACAACGCGTGTATTAGCAGTGCACAGACAGCACGCTGCAGTAAGCGGGAGAAAAAAGAGGAGATAAGATATGCTGCGCCGGAGTAAATTTTGCTAGTCTGTTAATCTTATTAAGTAAAAAGTATACAGAATCTGCAATAAATCAATAGAAGTCAAATGAAACACAGCTCCTTATAGATGTCAGTTTTTAAAAACTTAAGCCAGATTCATTTTCTTTGTAGCAGAGCGGAATTTGAGAGGAAACATAATTGCTGCAAGAATTGTGAAGGGAGTAAGAGGATATTCTGGCAAGTACAGTACTATTCAAATCCTGCACTATCAAGGCCGAAGTGGGGAGAAGGCAATATAAGCCAAGAAAGGGCTAAACAACAAAAGGGGAACAGACATGACTGTATTATTGCAATATATTATGACGGATTACATTTGTTTAGTTGTTTGTTCCGTGTCTGAGTTATGGCTTTTTAAGAAGCCGGGGTCACTTACTGGTCACCCTTCAAGGGAGGAAACATTTGACAGACTTCAGAGTTGGATAGGCAAGACACAGCACCAAACTGCAGCCCAAACAGACACCACGACCCAGGTAGCTGCGAGCCAGGGCCCAGAGGGAACTGCAGAAACCCCCGGCTTAACTGGAACCAAGTGTGAACACAGGACCTGCCTTTGGGAGGTCGTGACAAAGGTGACATCAGGAGCCTTGGTTGGTGCATCCATCTGACCCGGCCACTCTGCGGCTCTGCTATACAGCTCTAGCCAACTCATGATCTCATCCCACACCCGGTAAGAAAGAGTTGCAGGGCAGCAAGAAATGGAAATGTATCTTTTCTCGTTCTTTTCATACAGCCCCACAACATCTATTGCCAAAAACAATCATGCAGACAGGCACCATCACTCATTATAGCAACTTTTTAAAGAAAAAAAAAAAGGTCAAAAGAATGGGGATAAAAAGTGAGAAGGATGAGGTGTCGCCTCACAGGGCGAAATAACAAAGTATATAACAAAGGAGCTGTGTATTGAAAAATGAAGGTTTCTGATGTGTGGACATTTTCACAAAGCTGCAGAAGGCTGGTCCCATCTCCTTGATAAGCAACCCTGCTCCCTACAGGCTCTTCCCAATACTAGCTGCTTTTCTGGCAAGCAGAGTGCTCTTGTTGTACCAGAGCAGCGGAGCAAGGCCAGGCCAGATGCCCAGCACGCACTCTTGAAGGTAACCTGCCCTTCCCAGCCCACGGTTTGGACTCACTCCTCCCCCCGAGATAAACCTCCCTCCACCATCACGGTGCTTCCTCAAGGCTCTGCTTAGCTGAGGAAGAGGGTTCCTACGTCCTGAAGACAAGAAACGCACAAGGCAGTGCCAAGGACCAGCTCCCAGACACTTTTTTGCATTGCACCCTCTCTGGACACAGCAATGATTTTGAGAAATTCAGGCCAAGCAGAATTAGAAATTAAATCCAGAAAAGTTTCAGGAGAAAAACGGGAGAGCAGGCAAGGAAGTATTTCTTTGATGCAGTTCAGCTGCCTGCTGAAGTGCAGTAGAAACTGCAGTAGAAAATCATATTTTCTGAGAGGCTTATTGGTGAGTTCTGCATGGACTACAAAGTTCACTTTTACAAGTAGTCTAAGTCTTTATCTTTAAAAAAGGCAGAATTTAAAAAATACTAATTAAATTACACTTGCAGAATTGTGTCCAGTAAAGATTGCAAACTAGAAAGCATCAAGAAATGAGACAATATTGCTTACCTATTATTGCTTTCGTCTTCTACTAACGTCTTAAGCATTTCCGAAATGTATTTCAAGTGCTGACAGCAATGCATAGCTGGCAATTAGGGAGGAAAGGAGAATAAAAATCTCAAGAAAATTGAAGTGCAAAGGTCAGCTAGAATACAACAAAATTAGCCATATTAAACTGTCATTAAAACATGTAAAACATTACTCAATTTTCATAAATATTTAAAATTTCATTTAAGAATTTCCCAATTTTCAGACATAATTATGTTTGTCTGTGTCTTCTTAGAACAATTAGCAATTAATTGACAATGCTTAACAAGGGGGTACAAATCAGGCAGTTATACCCCTGTATGAATTCTACCTCAGTATTAGCACATAATCAGCAGGTTTTTTGTTGCGCATGCAGAACTGTACTGCTTTAATAAGAATTATATTTTACATTCTAAAAGTCCAGATGAATTCAAGTTTAGAGAGAAGCATCAGGGCAACACACTGTCTCTTGTAATACACCTATCAATTTTGATAACAACGTATTTAATATTTTTAGAGATCTTAGTTAAAACATTCAATTTAAGGAACTGCCAATATTTAAGCTGCAGGTGAAATGTTGTCTTAGGCCCTTTTAAGACATACAGACAAAGCAGGTAAATGTTTAATGCAGAAACTTACCCGAAGGTTGTCGGAGTAAAGCTATTACAAGAGGCTGGTGACAGCAAGAGAAGTAGGCTTTTAGTGGAAACTTATGCTAAAACAAAAAATGGTCATTTTAAGAACTTTCTGATCAGTTTTAAAGGACATTCCACAGCTACCAAACTCATATAACGTCTAACTAACAATAGAGTCTGCAGTAAAAAGACATAAAATGGATTTTAACGTTTTGTGTAAAGACAGAAAATGTAAGAAAAGTTTGCTTAGATGACGTTAGTACTTATGAATTTAATATACGCATTAAAAAGCATTCAGAGTATGATGAGAACTAAATCCTGTTTTTCTTTTTTTCCTCCCTATAACCACAAAAAATCTTTATTTTTCTTTATTCTAATATTCCAAAGTAAAAAAGAGATGCTAATCTATTTACTTTCATTTTACCATGTAAATGGATTCATGGACCTATCCAGATAAGAACCAGTAACATCCACAAAAGTCTGAGGTATGAAGCAGATTATTTTCATATGCTCAGAAATGGAAAACTAAAACTAGAAGAAAGCTAAAATTCTGAGTATCTGATTCTGAATAAGTTAGGTAGTGAATCACTGCTGAGGGCGTGTGACTTGTTTACTATGAACACAGCTAATGCAGTTGTGAGATTGAAACCTTTAATCTTTTTGCTCACGAGCACCTCTTGCTGGTTCATCTAACCCGCAGTATGCAAGTGAACTCTCTTTAGAGCACCATACTGATGACATTAGCACTCTTCTAGCTTCTTTCAGAACAGACCATCTCTCAAAACAGACTTGGAAAACAGACTGTATAGAAAATGATAAATTCATAAATTCAGTGAAAGTTTCATTTAGTTTTTTAAAACATTTTCATTCAGATTTCAAAAATCTGTATGCATATATTACGAATAAATGAAATGACACATTCTCATTATTTTTCTGTAAACAATAGTTAATAGAAATTACGCTATACTAACATATACAATATCCTCAAACACTGGATGTGTAATTGTTATAATAAGACTCTAAAAGTCTATTTGTCATGTGGAATTACTCTAATTAAAAATTAATAATCCCTATATTAAACTATGCAGGTAGCCAATTAGCTATCACCAAAAATCCCCATGAAAAGTAGCACTTAGTAGTCAAGACAACCCACAGCATGAATTACATATGAAAATGGTATTGCAAGGTCAGTGAAAACTGGTTTTCAGCATACAGCTTAAACAAAGCAAAAATATTTGCTTATTGACATATTAGCACAGTATTTTAGGTAGTTCATTCCTTACCTAAACAATCAAACACCACAAAACAAGGTACTAAAAGATAAAACAAGTTTGGATTGGCTGGATATAGTAACTGACATAAAATCATACTTCTCACCTAACAATAAAGAAGAAATAAAAATGAAAAAGCTATTAAAATATTTCATCAGCTACTTAAAAGAAGTACTTAATTTCCAGGTGAAAATAGCTGATAATATGAAATTATGAAGGGAAAACACCATTAGAGGAAACAATAATTTCTACCAAGTGCATGAACTTTAAGTTTATAAATTCTGAACTAATGTGACTCAAATATCTAAGTCCGTTTTCACTTTTCACCGCAAATCTGAAAAAAATGACCCTGCCTGTATAGAACACGAAGAATCATCGCAGCAGTGGGATCCCAATCCGTTCTTAAACTTCTTTTTTGGTGACCATACAAATGGTCTTTTTTTTTTTTTTATGTGTAGGTAGGTTTAAACCCCATAGTCTCTTTGTATCTTTTTCTTTTATACCAAAGCACAGAAGAGCAAGTCTATTCCTAAAATGCACACCACTGTTTTTTTTCAAAACGTTAATTTTTTCTACATATTCTTATCTTCAATAAATTGTCTCCAAAGCTATTAAAAAAGACAGTCATACTTGACAGTTGCCACAGTGGCACAGGCAATCGTTCTCCTCTTGCTTTGCAAACCCATGCAGCTGCCACACTTGACCTGGCTCTTTGAACAAATTTTTGGACACGTACGTTTGCCCAGTGTTTTTTTTTCAATTAACTGTATTATAAATTCCTAAAGTCTCAGATGACCCAGCCAGATCCCTCCTTGTCCTCTGTCATTAAGTGGTTTTACCCTTTTTTACCCTTCCAATGTGAAATGTTAATGGAGCAAATTATGTCCTATTAAGTGTATCCAGATACCACAAAGATGTTTGCCTTATGAATGCATGTGATAGCGGTATGACAACACAAATCTCATCAGTCATTTAAACAAACTTTACGAAGCAGTCTGTACCTACTTTACTGTATGCCAAGTTTTATTTAACATTATGATTGATTCATAAACACTGAAACAATGCATTTAAAATTCTAATATTTAAAGGACTACCTTAATTAGCGTCCCAGAAATCAAACTGTATATAAATTGAATACAGGAAAGCTACTTAATATTAAACAAAAAAAAGTGTCCAGGCCACAAGGTTAGCAGATGAAGGATTTCTGCCCTACAGGGCACTGATTGCCTGCACCACAGGTTTATCCCCGGGTGTCCGAAGGGCCGGGCTCTGCCCTGGTGCTCCTCAGCTCACCAGGGACACCACTTTTATCAGGGGATTATTCTTGGATAATGTCGGGTAAATTGCTTTTACATATTGGTTTTATACTGCATTTTGATTTTCACGTTAAAATGTCTGAACCGAGCTATTATTCAGCTCATTATATTCAATGACCATTCTTAACTGTTTTTTTTTCCTTAAAAAATTCATCCTTTCATTAAAAAAAATAAAAAAGCGAGAAATTAAAATACATTTCAACTAACCTGCTTGTTTTCATTCTGGTGAGCCTGAACAAAAAGCTGTGTAAACATCTGTATTATGGTCATAACTTCTGGAGCTCCATCAGTTTCCAGTAGCGCACTCCTAAACATTGAAAAATTAGATTATGCCAGGTCAAATTATTAGTGTGCCAATCACAACAAAAAGGGAAAAAGTACATTCTTTCTATGCTGTAGCCTCAAGCTGCATCTGAACTCATCAGGCTATTATGCCTGCATGAAAACTCTAAGAACTACTAAGTTTAGAGGCATTAAAAAAAAATCTGTTAACTATACAAATAAACTATATGTATCACATATATACAATATATACAGAGACAAGAATTTCCCCTACTGGTAAGGGAAAACAAAGGGAACAAGAAAAAAAAAAAAGATAGAAAAAATGTAATCTCCTGGGATATGGTACAAAATAAACTTATTTTGACTATGACTGTTAAGTATTGCACTCCTACTGAAGCAACGGAAATTTTAGAAGAAGAAAAAACAATTACATATTTAAAAAATAAACAAGATGACTGTCAGTATCAAATAACACGGCACAGTTTATGTCACTATTAAGCAATCAGCCAGAAATGCAAACAGAATTGAGCACGTACCAAAGGTGTTCTCTAGATCAGTAACTGCTACAGGTGTAACCAGGGACAAATGCATTTATTTACAAATGCTTTCATTGACAAAATCATAAAAATCCATTACAGAAATTTTATGTCAGGAAGGTGAAAGTCTTAACTGCCCTTCCATAGGGCATAATGATTTGCTGAGCAAATGAAGCTGACCAGGGTCAGCTTAACATCTTTCCTTATCATCTTTGAAAAGAAGGGAAAAACAGTTCTGGGTAGCTGCCGCTGAGATACCCCAGTGTTTGTTATTAGGGACCTACTTATCTCTTTCCATGCTGATCTGCAAGTAGGGAATAAATAACACATTCCTGTAAGAACTGGGGGAAAATATAACCCCTAATAAAAATGCAGAAGCATTATGTAGAAATTCAAAGGCTCTAGAATTCTATATAACCACACATAATAACAAAGCAAGCTTCTATTTGGGGAAAAAAACTCATACATCTAAGGTAAAATGGTCTAACACAACCAAGTTCAATGAAAAAAATACAAAGAGCAGGAAAATCATTCCTGAGAGACACATAAGGCTGAAATGCATGCTTCTGACAAAGCACTGGCCTCCAAAACATAACCGAAGATTTCTGCCAAGTGTAAAAAGCAATAAGGTAGAAGTTCTATTTCTGCACCAGCTCTCTAAAATCTCCCGTTGGACTAAGTACATAATAGTGAGTTAATTTCTGGGCAGCACTTGGAAAAGAGTTGGAAGCATGTCAAAGAAGTACAACAAAAATGAACACAAAGCTACAGAAACAACTAATCTGCAAAAGCAGGTGAACACGTACAGCTTCATTAAATAATGACTGTACCAGAAGCACAGTAATTTCAAAACAAATTAAGGGCTTAATGGCAAGAATTAAGTAAAGGAATTAGCTGGTGCAATGCATGAGCATACTAAATTGACACAATGGAAAGCAAGTAAGAGAGCAGACTGGGACTCTTCAGCTGAACAGCAGGAAAACATGCAGGATTCCTAAAATCATGTGGAACGTCAAAAATGTCAGGGCAAAGTATAATGTGGAAATACTGATAATCTGATTTTTGTTTCATAACACGTTCACCAAACAGCCTCAACCTGAAAACATTTGCACGGGTCTGTTAAGTTGTATCAGCCCTCACGTGCGTTTTTCCTTGGGGAAGTGACTGGTGTCAACTTCAACTGTTCAACATATGCTAACCCTGCTGAGAAAATGGGCGACAGGAACAGGCAGGGCTGCTACAGCAAAATGGTTCCCTCGCGGCGCGGCGCGACGCGACGCAACGCGCTGGTCGGCAGCTCTGCAGCTGCAGACGCTCCCTGTCAGTACCTGCACAAACCTAAACACGCAGACACAGACACATAAACACACACAGACACACAAACACCCCCAAACACGTGTGCCCAGAAAGCTGTTTTCTTTAAAAAGCAAGAGCTTTGATGAAAATGGACTATCAGTTTCTTGTTAGCACCGAGTGCATTATTTTTTTAACTAAAAATCTATTACTCACTAGGATAGGGGTAGATTACTTCAAAGGAGTGGAAAAATAAGAAACTTTAAGAGGAAAAAAAACACTGAAAACTGAGTACAAAGGATTGGAAGCCCCCATGTGGTGAACAATACATATTACTTGGAAATATTTCAAAATGCATTCAAAACCAGATACAGACAGATCAACAATTTAATGCTATTAAGAGCACAGATAATGCCAATCCCAAAAGATTTTTAACACAATTTATAGAGGCCACACTAATAAGTACCAATACTTTAGCTCAGCCCTGGGCTGCCAAGAGTGAAGTCATTAACTAAGTATTTACATTTCTTACATCAGTTCAGATTTCAACAGGAAAAAAATACTAAAATACAAAGTAAATTCAGATTTTTACAGGCTAAAATACGATGCAGTCAAACCTATCAATAAGTGTTATAATGTAACTTTCATATGAGTTCCATTTCAAGATTAAGGTTGGCTATTATTTTTCATACGTGTCACAGAAGACTATATGGAGATAGGCAGCTAAAGAATAAGACATCCAGAAATTGTAATACTGCATATTCAGAAATAAATCTGTGCTGCTTAAACTGGTCATTTAAACCACTTCCGATATAGAGCTTCAAAACTTACTTGAAAATTTCATCAATGATTATGAAAATGGCAGGATGTATCGCTGCTTGTGGCTGTTAACAAGGAAATGAAAGGAAACAGGGCATTAATTAATAAGAAGCAAGTCATCCACTGTCACTGTATAATTTATAACTTAACCTACAAATGCTGTAATGGTGCAGTTGCTAAACCACAGATTTTGTATCAATCATTATTAGACACCCGGATTCCCTCTCAACTAAGTTCTTAAGAAGTGTCTCACAATCAGACAGGAGACCTACAGCAATAACAAGCATACTAAACAGGCGATAAATACAAACACCTGGAATCCCAAACTGCAACCACAACCACTGAAAATAGCAAAGAGAGCAGAGAGATGAAGCAGGTCACTGCATGCAATTGCTGGAGAGACGGGGAGCGGCTTTACTAGAAGTTTTCTTCTCGCCTTTACAGACTCTCCCTTTGAATGCGCTTCGTGATTCTTGCTAAATGAACAAAATCAATCACCAGAAATTAAATCTCCTCTGTCTTGAAAACTACCACATACATTTTGATCAAAGACACTTTTCCATGCTATTATGTTGTTTTGAGAATTTCAGAATTTCTAATACAGCCTAAATATCTCAGTGCATCTCACAGTCCAAAATGTATTTCTTTTAAAAATAGTGAGGCTTTTTAGCTTCATTATGCCAGCATTCAAAAGGTTGTCTTAAAAAAAGTTACATTAAACATGCATTAGTAAACATGCTTTTTAAATCCCTTATTAATGAATTCTAAGATTTCAGACACTTTATGGGATTAAATAACCATTTATATATTCGCCTTCATATACTTATCCATAATAACCAAACCCTATCTTGCCTAGTCTTTTCTGAAAGATTTGATAAAAACATATTTTTTGAACAAACTGGAGTAAAACACGTCTAATAAAATGCACTTTACAGACTTCAGGATGCATGGAAGGAATAGCGGGTTTACACATGGTGTTTACTGTAACAGCTCTAAGCATTTGAAGCACTACTGCAAAGAAAACTTCTATGCATCTGGTTCAGGCCAAAAAGCAGCAACTGGAAGAGAACTTTACTGAATTGCACACAGGCTGAATGGTTTGCATGATATCCCCAGAAATTAGAAAACCTTTAATATAAACTGGAAAGTTCTGAAAAGGCCAGCTCCTTGCTTCTCACAGGTGTCTTTAGCTCCTTGCTTCTCACAGGTGTCCTTACCCTACTGGAAATGGCAGGTCACACCTCATTTTCCTCTTTCACCACACTGTCTCTGTCACAGGCCTGCAGCAAAGTTGCCTTATTGAGCGAATGCCACCTAGTGTTCAAGGCACCTACAGACAGCTCAGAACTGTGAAAACCAGCACGAAACGTGACACTAGGCTGAGGTCTCCAAACCCCCTCTGCTTGAGGGAGAAAAAAACGGGTGGACGGATGAGAGAAAAAAAAAAAATGAAAACAGTCTAAAGTGAAAAACCACGTTTCAGCCCTGTGGTTGAATTCAGCCATTTTTTTCTGTCTTTTCAGATTCTCTGATGAATCAGAATCTGATTTCAGATCCTCCTGCAAGCATACTCTCATAATGACACACAAATCCACTATTGCCTAAGTCTTTTTGACCATGTTGCTAGGAAAAGTATAGCAGCTTTCTTTGAATAAAATCAAAATAAATGTGCTCTGAGCAACAATGAAAAAGCTTTTCACTCTTTTGACAGACAGCAACAAACTATAGCACTCGTTTTGAGAGCCCACACCAATAATTTTTTGTATTTTGTATTTAGTCCAAGGACAATATATATTAATTTCATAACTACTAATAAGCAGGAAAAGAAAATCTATGATTATTATCTAACTTGACTTTTTGATGAATATGTTGTAGTTGATTCATTTGCAAATACTTAAAATAAGATTTACTTATCAAGGCACAAAAATTTCCAAGGGAATTTAAAGGTATGCCTTTTGTGCATCAACTCCATACTGGAGCAGTGATATTTGTGAGCAAATCTCATAGGGTTTTCAGGTTGCTGATCTACCTCTCTACTTTTTCAAAAATAAAATGATGTTTTAATAATCTTGTTTGCAGCCATGCAAATTTTTCCAGATAAAGTTCAGATAATCTAACACCCTCTATACTGAGAAGCTGTTCTATCCCTTTTAAAGGGGATAGAATTATATACACTATTTGATTATAGAATTATATGCACTATTTGATTAATATATTGCTCCTTTCTTCAAGTGTCAAATATTTTTATTTTCACATTATTTTGAAAGCATGAATATCTTTTCACAGAATTCCTGTATTTAAAGCCCTCCTGTCTGCATGAAAACTATTATTAAATTCCATTATTCAAACATTTTGCTGTAATGGCACAGTTTAAGACAGACAACAATGAGGAAACTAATTGTGACGTAGCTAGACTATATTGTAACAGCAGCAACAAGAACAACAAGGTGCTCCTCTTTCCGCTCCTTCTCTCCACCTTCTTCTGGCACAAAAGCAGGTGAAAGATGGGCCTGGATCTGGCTACGCTGGGAACCTGGCAATGAGGAGAGGGACGAGGGCCCGCTCCAGCATGGCAGCGGGAGCGCTTCTCCCGCGGCGCTAAGCTCTGCGTCACCTTATCACCCGCAAAAACTCTGTTTTGACTCTGGTGCTGAAGTGAAAACAACAGCAAGGGAGGCTGCAGGGCGAGAACCCTGCAGAGCACAACACGCTTTTGATTCCGGGCCAGACTTAGGGAGGCCGACAGTGTGGGAAAACAAAAAAAGAGCAGTAACAGAACAGAGAAGGAAAGGTAACAGATTTTATGCACTTTCAACCTAAAGCAGATCAGGGCTTTCTTACAACGTGACTTGGAAAGAAATAAAACTATTTTGGAAAAATAACTAAAAGCTGAGCAGTATTGTCACTAATTTGTTCATGATAGTTTATGTAAGTACTTTAAAAATTTGTTTACATAAATATATCCAAAATAAAATACTAGTAATTGACTCACACATGGAAACTTTAGACCTGCTTCACAACGAAAGATATCCTTCTACACACCAAACTGTTAAGTGAAAGAGTTATCTGTGAAAGCCATTTCATTATGAGCAACATGTAAATTTCTTCGTTTTTGTATTTCTTACTTTTCAGTAACTACAGAATTTCCACTGCTATTTCCAGTTCCCCTCAAAGGCCAAAAGCGTATTTAATAGCACACCATATAAAAGGCAAGTTAGTGGACCATCACACTCTAATTACTTTCAGAATTTCAGTGTAATAACGTGGCATATCAAGTTTCTTTCACAATAAAAATTCAGTAGTTTCCTACTCTCTCGGTACTCTGGATCTTTATAGGTTTATCTATATTTGGTCATTCTATCAAGATATCTTATTTTGACAAATTGCTCAATGCAATTAAAAAACAGCTTATTCAAGTTTCCTTATTGTCATATAAGATCACCAATCACTAATTTATTTCTGCTGTATTTGTACTCTACTGGTTTTATTGCAAATAGAAAAAAGGCTATATCAATCCACTTCTGTCTCATCATTACATGACACAAACACCATAATCTTACTGTCAAAAAACATACACTTCCATATCCCTAAATAAATATTCAAATAACCCGTAAACTCAGATGTTTTCTATACAGGCTGAGTTAACCATACGGTTGGATTCAAAATGCTCACTGATCTTGGTATCATACAAATGTGCTTACAACACAGCTTACTCGGATATCATTAGACACTTTCAAGCTGTATTTTGGAATCCCATCTCTTCCTGCTTTACTGCCTCTCTGGGCCTTCTCTCCCTGTCTTTTTCAACTGCCATTCCATCTCACATACACTTTCTCTCTTACTACTTTACTCCTATCAACAAGTAACATCCACCTCCAAGCTATTCTCACCCACAGCCCCTCATTCATACCACCTCTTGTCCACAGGATGTCCTCTCTAAACCAGCATTCAAAGCTGCTGCACTGGTCTTTCCCGGTGAATACTTTCCTTTGAAAGCTCTAATTCTCTGGAGCAGAGGCAAAAAGCACAGTGTAAGTGTGCTACCATAGTAACTTACCATCCTTTTCAGGGAGCAAGGCGTGGGAACAACTCATATATGAAATTAAACAACATTAAAGCAATAATTATGATAAAGATTTTACCCCTATATATAAAACCTAGATTTTTTTCTCATCTATGTATGGTACCCTGTACATTATTCAACTCTTATATTGTGTCCAGTACAGAAAAAATTATACGCACAGACATATACTTGGAACACCCAGATCCCAAGTAAGGCCTAAGAATTGCTGACATGAAGCACTTATGAGATTTCATTGTAAATGACTCTTGAAATAGAAATTTGAGGATTTAATCAAAAAGGACAAAATTCTAAATATATCGGTTCTTTTCCTTTTTAAAATGTACGCTATAAAATTTCATAGGGTAAAAATAGATAACTCCTTTTTGAGTGAGCTCTACTTTATGAAATACAGAATGTAAGTGCATTGCACATCATCACATTTAAATTCATATTTAATTTTACAAACTAATATAAGTTTGGAGAAGGTGCTCTCTTTAGAAGGTAATTATGTTTTCTAAAAAAAAAACATGCATTTTGTATCACAGCATTTGAAAACAAACTTTAATTACAGTTTAGCAAATATTTTACATTAAGAATTTTGTTCATGTTTGCATGCAGAACCTAGTCACCAAACATTCCACAAAAAAAAAAAAATCTACAAAGCATTTCAATTGTTTAAACTGCTAAACTCCTAATGGCACACAGATATAAGTAGAAACAGATTCAAATTCTCCCTCCCCAAAATCTCTAATTTTTAAAGGCACAGGCAGGTATTTCCACCTCCACCAATGAGATCGGTGTTCCTTAGTCTATGGGTCAAATTTTTATTCTCATCAATTCAGCACAAAAACTAAAAATTTAAATGACTCTTATAAAAGTTAAGGATTGTCTTTGTATTAGCAAGTTACATGCCACACAACAGCCCTTCTCACTCAAAGATGCTGCCATTTATTTGAGAATTCTCTGTCTTGACAGAACATACAGAATGAAATACACACTCTGTTGTACGTACCAATAACGAATCTTTTATGACACAAGCTACTTCCTCCAGTGAAGTCATCTGAATGGAAACCAGTTGGTCTAAAAGATATAAAGTAGCTTTTTCAAGGCTTGGTAAGTGACGAAGCCATAGACTGAAGATAGCTGTTTCAGAGAGGGAGATCTTCTTTCTGGTTTAGGAGAAAAACAGTACTCTCACTAAGAGATTGGGAGATAACAACCAAAAAAAAAAGTTAAAAAAGAAAAAAAAAAGGAAATGAAAGGAGATCACCCTCCAATAAAAGAGTTAAACTTGGTTTACAGTGTTTTGCTCAATAGGTAGGACTGCTATGCTTTCCAAACTTGACCACAGCTTTATCAAATAATAATGCCAAAGATTAAGAGAGAATCATCATCAACTACAAATGAACCTCAATAAATGTCTTTCATAAATTCAAAAATTTGTCTTTGCCAGATTCCAGCAGGTAGAAATGGAAGGATTAAGTCTGGAGTTCCTTAATTCTCTAGAGAACCTCTACCTCACAAATCCTTCTTTAAAACTCAGTCTGTTTCCTGCACACCTGCCTACTAGAAAGTGTCAGCAGCTGACAGGCAAGCCGAAAGGTCCTACATAATTTTACTGCAAGCTATAATGCAGTATTACTGCAATAAGTATTACTTGGTCTTTGCAAAGAAATAAGAAAACAAACAAACTAGATCAATTTTTGAGCCCACCAACAGCAAACAAAGCCTTCTGAAAGAGATGTGTTTAAGATCATGAATGATTTCAAATGCTGTACAATATATAAAGTGCAATTATTAAAAAGATCAATTTTAAAATAAATTAAAAATTATACAAACTTTTAATTTTTCTCATAAGTCCTTCTCACTTGAACATTTTAATGATAATATGAGAGATATTATACCAGAAATAGGTATCTAAGATCCTTACACAGAAATGTTTCAAATCTTCAAGTGACATAGGAAATAAACTGCAGTCCTTAAAATTCTGCCCGTGTACTTGTAAATGCCCCCAGTGGGACACTTCCAAGACCTGTGAAGCACTGCAGGTCACAAGTTTCTTCCTAGCACTTAGTGACTCTAATTCATAGAGTGGACCTCACCAACAGGAAATGTGTTCAGAACACATTGAGAGAAAATCACAGAATCCCAGAACCCAGAATGGTGGAGGTTGGAAGGGACCTCTAGAGATCACCTAGTCCAACCCCCCTGCACACGCAGGGACACCTAGAGCACGTGGCACAGGACTGCGTCCAAGCGGGTTTTGAAGATCTCCAGAGAAGGAGACTCCACAACCTCTCTGGTTGTGGACAGAGCCCTGGACAGCCTGTTCCAGGGCTCTGACACCCTCACAGGAAAGAAGTTCTTTCTCACATGGAGATGGAACTGCCTGTGTTTCAATTTGTACCCATTACCCTTGTCCTGTCACCAGCCACCACAGAGAAGAGCCTGGTTCCATCCTCCCTACAGTCATCCATCAGGTACTTCAACATGTTGATCAGATCTCCTCTCCGTCTTCTCTTCTCCATTAAAACACGGTGCAATTACCCACATTTGGAGGGAGGAGGAAATATATGGTCAAAACTCTTTCATACAATTTCTTAAAAAAAAGGTGCAGAATTACACTTCCATTTTAGAGAAAAGGTGGGAAGGGGCTCAGTCAACATCTAAAGCTGTTATGCCATAATTTGTTCATCAGCAAGTAAAAATCCTGGTTTATCTTGCAACTTGACATCTGCTATTCAGGTGCCAAGGAAATATGTTAAGAAAAAAAAATGTATGCTGAATGAAATCAGCATTCAAGTCTATGCAAAATTTACTTCAAGTAGTTTAATGCTCTTTTCATGAAGAGCAGAAGGAACATAGTGAATATGCTACTCACTTTAGAAAGGCCTCATTCACAGCCTCAAGGAACTCTGAACTGAGAACTTCCTGTGATGCACTTCCATGGCACAGAAGCAGAGTTTCCAGCAATGGAGTTAGATCGGGCAAAGTAATCAGAGGGACACAGGAAAGGGAGATCTCATTCAAACGACTGGCTGATACTCTGAGAGGAAAATAAAATAAAACAGTTCCTATTTTAGAAAAGTCAAAACTTTAACTTCTAAAGCTATCAAGGAAAAAGAAAAAGATTAAATTAATTACAGAAGGTTAAGTGTAAGAAATATGCAGCTAGTTGTATAAAGATTATTTATGGGAATGAGTATTGTGTTATTATTACATATTGTCTGGAGAATCTCGAAAGGAAGCCAAATAAAACTTCGCTATTTTAGTGCTCAAGGCAAATCATATGAGGGATTTGAACCAAATTCTTAAAAACAGCTAGGTGTTTATTAATTACACCCTTTCTAACAGGAATGTGTCATCCTTTCCAAGAAAGCACCATGCAAGAGCAGGGTAGACTACAGTTTCATAACTCCCATAGAGGTTTGCTAAAATCTAGAAAGGATAACCTAGCTGGTTTTAAGGCCACTTATAGTTTTCCTTCAACTTTCTCTCCCCTTTTAATACAAATTGTTTTTGTGGACAAAATAGTACAAATCCTGCTCTCTTCAAGTCTTCACAGAAAAAAATATTTCTCTTAGGTAGCTGAAGGCATATATAACACTTTTGGCTCTTAATACATGGAACATCACTTGATCTGTTTGTTAAAACTGCATTTTTAGAAATGATTCAAGATGGTGAATTAGCGTGCCATAAGACAAATAACAGAAAAATCAATTACAAGCATATTCTTGAAACATGGAACCTCTGAAATATACAAATCAAGGGAAGCAGCATGAACCATGAGATTAAATTTACTAAAGTATAAGCACAAGTTTTCCAGAGTATACAGAGGTTCTAGATGCAGTTTAAAGAGGAAGACATTTAAGACTAACAACTCTTAAATATTGTATTCCAGCAAATTTGTTTTAGGTTGTCTGTTGAATTGTTGCAAATTACTCCTCATTGCACTGATTGCTAAAAGGGGCACATGTTACCAAGAATCAAAAATATTTTTATTCAGATTTATTTTTAATTCTATAAGAAAGACTATTCTTATATTAAAACTTAATAATCTTCAAACTATTCTTCGAAAATATTATGCTCACTGTGTGCAATGAGTTTGCACAGGTGTTTTGTTATCCATATTGTTGCAAGTGTCACTGAAAGCAGAATGAGACAACGTGCATCTCCAACTACAAACTACATCTGTCTGTGCAAATTGTATAAAGAGCCATAACAACTTCTACCCTCAAAATTCATCAGGATTTCTAAGTTTTCCTGTTTTTCTGGTAGAAATAAAAATTATTTTTGGCTAAAAGTCCTGTATAAAATAGTATCATTAACTATTTCAGCCCTCCTTCACCCTAATCTATAGAGTGCAGTTTTTGTTTTCTGCAGTAAAAAGAAAGCTGGGCTACAGCAAGTGCAATGCTAACGTAAGCTAAATGAACTCAGATCATTTGCTCTATCTTGTGCTGACATCTAGCTGAAGCACAAAAGGAAGAACAGAGATAACCTAAACAAGAAAAAGAAAAGAGTGTTAAAAAGCACCAAACAAGGAACTTGTTTGCAATGCAACTCCTTCAGATAGTCAAAGGTTGTTCAAGCTAATACCCCATCTCAAATGGTAGCAACTCACACTTTCTATGTAGGTAACTACATCCTCCAAAACCTGGTCTCCTTTTGCCAGTTAAACTATGCTAATATGCTTAAAACTATCAAGAAATTCTGCCAAAGAGAAGAAAGCCAGTTTATTTTCTTTCCTGTAATGTTTAAGGCCAGGAAACATCACACAAGTAATAAAATTCATTTAATTGGTGTGCACAGCTTTGACTTGAAGACCAACTGAGTAAGCAGAGGAGAATCATACAAGCAATTCAAAGAATAGGCAGACTTTGGGTACATTTATATAAAAATATCTATCTCTATTTTGGCAGGGGGAGAAAGAACAGCTGGAATATACTTAATCTACTTGCAATCAAAGATCATGATAAACGTATTGATTTTTGAAGTATTTATGAAAAGTTCATCAAGTTTTATCAAGAGTTTTCAAGAAATCAAACAATACTGTGGATATACAGTGAGAAGGCTCAATTGTATCTGAAATAGTGAGGACATTAGCAATAGACCTTTTTTTATTCATCACAGATTTTGGCACTACAGTTCATACATCTCACTTTCTCAGTCCTGTCATCTAATTCACAGTACTACCACAACTCAGGGAACTAAGGGTAAGCAAACTGTGAGAACTTATTTAAATAAGCACAGTCATATTTTATTAGTAACAACTGCAGGATAATTGCTATTGAATCACATGAAACTATTGCTCACACACATAAGGAGAAACTTCCTTTGAAAAAAAAAGCTTTGCTTTTTCCTTATAGTAACTATATCACGACTATCATGTGAGTATAACATCTTCTATGAAGCACAACTTAACACACTTGTCAACATATGAAATTTTCTAAACACTCGACCACACAAAACTTTCCAACTGATGCCTAAATACTTACATGACGAAGGCTGTAAAAAGGTTCTCACTGAACTGTAATGACCCAAACCAAAACATATCAAAATGATGTTTAGATAACACCTACCTCCCTTGAATGTTAAGTCCATTAAACTGATTTCCTCTGAGTTCTGTCACTAGTGATGAGACCATCTGTTAAATAAACCAAATGATATTAAAATACACACACTGCAAATAAGCAGACATCAGTTGCATTGTTCTTCATGAGAGTAATGCCTTTGGCAATTAGTAATATTCCTTGTCCACTCAGTTTTATTTTTTAATTTTTAAAGTATTTGTGCCAAATCAAAGCTTTCCAGATCACAGAACAGATAAACTACACTGCAAAACCTTTTGTGAACACCCATAATATATCTTTCCTATATGGCAACTAGAAAGCAAATAATTCAGCTCTGCCTCCTCAAAAGTTGAATGTTTTGGAAGAGTGTTATTAATAATTTTTATACGCCTGATGTAATGATTACATTAGATATTATGAAATACTATTCATATTCCATATTATGAAGTACTCTTCCCATGATTTTATATAGTAAAAGACAATTTTCCAAATTCTTAGGGCTCATTTATCATTTATAATGCAGCACACACAGCCAAAAAGATTCCAAAACTTACATTCTAACACGCAGGATAATAGATATTAATTTTACTACACAGTGAGAGAAAAAAAAATGCTAAGACAGATTTTTTTGTTTGTTTGTTACAACACATCAGCAATAAGTATTTTAGCAATATGCATAACAGCATAATGTAATCAATTTTTTTTTCCTTTGTCTGTAGAGATCTCCCATTTCATTTTCTCCCTTAAAAGGCTCTAAGAGTAACTGAGGTAAGAAAAGATAAACGAATTTCAGTTCCTGTTCCTTATAACAATGACAACTCCATGGATGTGCTTATAGACGGCTGATTTATTATTAACAAAATCTCAATTGCACAAAATACTTACATTTTTAACCAAGTGAGAATAATAATCTGCTGATGTGTAGCCAAGAGCTGAAATAAATGAACTGGTCCCAGCTTCATTACTTTCCCATTTAGAAGAAGAAAGGAGATGGCAGAGCAAACTCTGGAAGAAATCAATTTAAATGAAGTTTTTTTTCTTAAAAGAAAAGAAAAGAGTTTGAGGGCATAACACACCTTGTAAAAATAAGCAGTTGCTACTGACCTCTGCCTGGTAAGATCTTTTGATGGACTGTAGACATTTTACACTACCTGATCAATCTACAAGTACTCACATCTCCTTTCAATCACAAGGAGAATGCTTCTGATGCTTACCACCAGATATGCCACATGCTCCATAGGATTCCAGCACTTCTGGAAAGCAGAGAGCACTGTGCCAGAAACAGACAGACCCTGAGGCAGGTATCAACTCTCTGGGGACCATTTCAGTCTGATACTATATAGCACAGGGACATAAACATTGCTGCATAGCAGAAAAGTGCAGGTAGAAACACTCTGATCAGCAAGAGTAAGCAGTTAATATTTACTTTTCAAAGTACTCCTTCAAGATGCCCCAGGATTCTGGACGTTACTCAGGATGTGGTATTATAATTTGATTTCCTCCATAAAAGACAATGACGACTCTTTAGTTTGACATTTGCTTCTGTAACAATTTCATTACTAAATCCCTTAAGCCATATTTCAAAAAAAAAACAACCTCTTTGTAAATACATCATCAAAAAAAAGCAATACTTGATAATAAATTTACTGTAAAACTAAAGTGAAATTAACACACTGATTGTACCCAAACATAGAAAGATTCTGAACACTGGTTTCCTGCTTTGCCAATACTCCAGCACTATACCACCAGCTATGGTGTCATTTGTGGATATCTTAACACGCCAGCTTCCCCAGTGTGAACTAGTTTATGAAAACTAGTTGTATGAAATTGACAGTATTTGGGGTTTTTTTTGCACCTTACTATCATAACTGATCTGAGGTAGTTATATGTTGCTTATCAACTCATAAATGCTTCATAAAATCTAGGCAATTTTCTTTCTTCAAGTGCTATGTGCTGATAACAACTACGTTCCAATTTCAAAGGTTCATTTAAGTGTTTTATATATCACTAATACTTAAATAATAAACTAGATTATACCATAGCAGTAAATATGAAATTCTTTGTAACACTGAAAAAAAACTTCTAAAAATACTTTTTCAAGTGAAGGGAAGTTCAGGTGGAAGCTCCTTGACTTCTACAATCCTAGGAGGTCTTACTGTATTTTTTAAAGAAAAATCCAATCAGACTACAAAAAAAATAAAAATAAATAAAGAGAAGAAAACCACACAGTTAGGTCATTTCCTGCCTTCAGAAATCCAAGCCAGACATCTAAATATGCTTTTGCTGGATATCTCTGATCATTACTTCAGAAATACTGAAATCAAACCTATTTCATGTTTAATGCATTAATATAAGAGAAATATTAAGTGGAAGCCATACCAAAGGGCTAACCAGTGGAAGCCATACCAAAGGGCTAACAAAAATTACCACTGTCAAAAGAAGTAACAAGAGCAGAAGTTTGGGACGCTTTTTCTTTTAATAACTCTTAAAAGGTTAAATAGATTTTTACTGCCACCTAGTGATTTTGATATAACTAAGGGGAAAGAAAAACACTGTGCTAAGAGTTTCAAAAGACGTAATGTATATGCAGTCTTTACATTCTTAAGAAACTTTAAAAACTTCAAAATGAACAGGCTTCCAGATATGGAGGAGCCCAAAATCTATAAGCTTTACAGTACCCAAATACCCAATCAGATGATGACCGTGGAAACATCTATGATTTTTTTTTCTTGAAAGCAATATTTGTTTCAGCATTTGTGTTCAAAACATTATTAAGATTTCACACTACTAAGAGTCCATACTATTAAGAGTTCCCACAAAATATGAGGATCTAGCAAGTAGAATAAAGGATTACAAAGCTTGTTGAAAGCAAGCTAAAGGAGAAGTTAGCAAGAACAACGCTGGGTATCCCTTTTGCTAGAGATGAAAACCACAAATGTGAGGCTTGTCAGTGAAAGACTAGCAAAAAGTTTCCACAGTTGCAAACAACAAACACACAAACTTCTGAAAAGCATAATCTGTGTAGACATGGTACTTAATGACAACAAAGTGAGGGACCAAATTATAAACCCATATATAACTTTAATACTACAAAATGCATTACTTGGCCATCCTTTATGTAACCAGCATTTTCCTTAGGATGAAACTAACCAAATATTCTTTATATGATGATTAATTTCACAATTACTTTCCCCTCTTCCTCTGCAAGAGTTACAAGAGTTATGGCTACCTTTTCAGTACAGGCAAAGACATGACAAAATGGCTAAATGCCGTAAGAGTTTGGATATGCTTGCAACACTTTTTTTTTTTTGCATTGTTACTCTTTTCTCAGCACTTTATTCCTGCAGGAATTCTGCATATCAGTTATGCTTTACTAACACAGAAAACCTCAGAACAGTCAGAGGGGTGCAGAGAAATAGCAATAAGGGGATACCTTTAAGTCAAGATGAAAAGAATCACTGATTCAATCCTGGAGTCTCCAGGCACTGCCTCACCAGGGCTGAGCAGAGATGCAGGATCACCTCCCTCGACATGCTGGCAACATTCCTCCTGATGTAGGCCAGGATCCCATTGGCCTTCTTGGCCACAAGGGTACGTTGCTGACTCATGGGTCACTTTCTTGACCACCAGGACCAGTCCCTGCCTGCAGAGCTGCTTTCCAGCTAGTCCTGCTGGTGGTGTTCCTCCCTAGGCGCAGGACCCAGCACTTGTCTGTGTAGAAACTCCTGAGGTTCCTCTCTGCCCATCTCTGCAGCCTGTCCAGCTCTCTGAAGAGCAGCACAGCCCTGGGGGTATCGATTACACCTCCCAGTTTGGTATCATCTGCAAACTTGCTGAGGGAGCACTCTGTCCCTTCATCGAGGTCACTGATGAATCAATCAAAAAGGATTGGATCCAGTACTGACTCTTGAGGGTCACCACTAGCTACAGGCCTCCAACTAGCCTCTGGGCCACTGATGACAACGCTCTGAGTTCTGACACCCAGCCAGTTCTCAGTCCACCTCACTGGCCGCTCATCTAACCCACTCTTCCTGAGTTTGCCCATGAGGATGGGAAACAGTGTCAAAATCCTTGCTGAAGCTAAGGTAGACACCACCCACTGCTCTCCCCTCACCTACTCAGCCAGTCACTTCATCACAGGCCATCGGATTGGTTAAACAGGATTTTCCCTTGGTGAATCCATGCTGACTACTCCCGATCACCTTCTTGCACTCCTCACACTTAGAGATGGCAACCAGGATGAGCTGTTCCATATCCTTTCCAGGGATGGAGATGAGGCTGACTAGTGTGTAGCTGCTTGAATCCTAACTCTTGCCCTTATGAAGATTGTCGAGACATTGGCAGAAAAGAAAGCATTTTGCATCTCAGTTCTAACTGCAAGAGAATAAATACATCCATCCACATGGCCTTGGAACACAGTTCTATGACACAGTCTTGGGGAGCTTGAGAAGGAATTAATAAATTTTCAAAAACCCTTGAAAAAGATTAACTTCATAAATCAAGCTTTCCCTATTTTATTGATGCAATTTGTATCAAGTAATATGGTAGTTAACCTGTAGTAATATTCCCCACTGCACTGGAATTTCTAATCATTCTTGAAAAAACAGATAATCCTGAAAGGATTTTCTTAAGATATGAAATTAACTCTTTTACCTGTGTAACACATTGTGTATTGTAGTTAAAATACGCGGTTACAATTGTAGTTACAATATATTCCACTCATTGTAAGGGGAGCTGATTATTTAGTATTACTCCTCTAATCTATGGTATGGCTATATGGCTACCCCGATTCACTTTATCAAGGAAAATGAAAAGAATGGATACAGAAAACAGCAACTACTGCCCAAGAATGTAAATGTATAAAATGATGCACTATGTTCCATACAGCCTTACCTAATCTGAGCTAAGCAACTGAAAAACATTTCCTACATACCACTTTCCAATTAAGATATCCACCTATTTACTTGCTCCTCAAGTAGTGAAAGCTGAATACCAATGTGCTATAAGGGCCTTTCTGAATTACTCTACAAAATTTGTTTGTCAAACTGTCCCCTGAAATACAGACTTTAGTAAAAGTCTGCGTGACATTTTCCAGAAGAGAATTTACACCTTGTTGAGATATGCAGAGCAGCACTGGGCAGGTACCAACTTGTGTTCACAATCCCAGCAAGGAAAATAAAAAGTTTTGGTCTTTTAACATTGCCCTTATTAAAAAGACATCCAAACAAATTAAAGATTTTTCCCCCGTCTTTCTTAACTGTTAATATCCTCCTTCTTATGTCCAGGGGACTGGGAGCACCATAATTAAAGGTACAATTAATCTGAAATCAAACATCAGCACAGAAGTAACACTTGTTTTTTTATTATAGTACTAAATAATAAATTTTATACTAGAAAATGTATTTGCGCAAGATTTTGGAATTTATGACACAGTTTCAAAGACACTCCAGAAGAACCGAATAAATCAATTTGTTTCTGAAAACTTCTCAACACATCTCTCTCTAAGTAACTTATGATTCTGAATGTCTTTAAAAGTAGATTTTAAAGCTAAGACAGACAATACATTTTAGAGAGCAGAAGAGAAAGATGGTTTCACTGGGACGAGCCTATCAAACCCAACACCAGTTAAGACTTGCCAAGGACACAACTCTTTTCTTACTGCCAAGCTGGCTAAGCCAGAGAAAGTGACAGGTAGAGACACATATATCTGTAACTTATCCTAAAGGATGTTTCTATCTAAGATCATTAATAATATTTTGCTGAAAATTACGATCCACGTGAAATTGTTGAAATTCATATAGAAAGGATACACAAGTGTAAACCTCAGTTATTTGATCAGAGAATGTCTTTCTTTTTTTTTTTCCATTTGTTAGACAGGAACTACATCCCCTCAACCATATTAAGAAAAACAAGGTAAAACAGGAAAAAAAAAATCAGACGAACATTAGAACCATTTCCTCTTTGCATTTTATCAGATTTTGGAATGAAGATATTTTGGACGATAA